GCGCTGCACAAAGTTCAGTCAGCGACTAACCAAGATTATCCAGACAACAACATACGTTAACTCTTCTCGCAAAAGCCTGAACTGGATGTCGAGCAAGCGTTGCATGCTCTCCATAGGTGCTGGATGAGGAGCACCGAAGAAGTTGACAGGCAGAAACGGGGGAATACGGCTCATGAGTTCTTCATGAGTGGGAGCAATGCGAATGTCATAGATGTCCTCAAAGTCATTATCGTGACGAGGTCCACCTTCACGTACGGCACCTGGACCTTGATATCCGCTATGGAGAGCAGCAAGGATGCCCTCATTGGAGGGGACCGACTGTTTTTGACGATCAGGACGTTTTTCTTTTCCTTGTTCCCGTTCAACAATGGAAACCAACTTGTGAATCTTCTCGTTGAGAGTTTGAACGAGCAGGTCTCGTACAGTAGGCTGCAGGCCTCCAAGAAAATTATCGAATGAAGGCGGATTAGCTTGAACACCAGTCCTTCCACTCTACAAACCATTTCTGCAAGTTCATGACCAAGGGTGCCAGCCGAGGATATGTCGCAACAGCGTTCTTGAAGCGAACAAGAAACCTAATGCGGATTGCAGCAATAATAATGAAGGTAGTGACAGTTCCTTACTCGTGCAGAACACCAGCGATGGATGCGAACGCCTGTGCGTCAACAGGATCATTTCCAAAAGCACCCGGGTCACTAAAGGAACGGGAAGCAATGATACTGTCCATGGACTTCTCGACAGCATCTGCAAAACTTGGAAGGTTCTGTAAAACCGTCATGTACAGTTGACTAGCGGCAGCTCAGTGCGTTATGTCACGACGAATCGAAGGTACATACTTTGCTTGAGTCCTTAAAGTGCTCTGAACAACGAAATCAGAAGACATATACTGCAACAACATCAATACTAGCGCGGGAGTTTAATATGTTGACGTACTCTAAGCAGGGGGATAAGCCCTCTCTGAAATGAAAGAATTTCGCGACCCATCGTTGTTTTTGAGGAAACTTGGGGCCAAGTCACTATCTCGGCGACCCGAAGTCGACCAGTGTTCTGCGAATTTCGGTTGAGTATACATCACAAGACCCTGAATGAACGTACCGAAGTCAAGGTTTCGAGTAGTAACTAGATTTATCACCGTCAACACAACGATTGGATCGGGTAGTACACCATACCTGTCCCTCTTCTTGAGTCTGGATCTAGCAGTTAATCAAGACGAGTTGCGTGACATGTCTAAAACGCACCCATGAGCCATTTTGAATATTGGCGCTAGACAGTGAGACAAGAAAGCCGTAGATCTCAGGTGCAGTCTTGAATCGAAGTCTTCTCGGAAGAATCTCCTCAACGACTTTGGGTCTCTGACGGAGTCAGAGATGTTGTAGCATCCTGAGGGAAATAACCATCGGTACCACCTCCTACGAGTTTCGATAGACCTTTCTCTGTAAGGAATGGGGCGATGAATGCTTGCACAGCCTGTGTGGGGATCACGAAAGGCTGCGGAGATCGCCTGCCGTCCTGACCCTGCGGGAGGGTATGTGCACCACGACAGCCGAACTCTCGAAAACATCGTCCTGTCTCCCAAAAGAATCGGCACACTCCTCGAGGAGGTGGGCTTGACGGTGGCATTTGGCGTTGAGGGCCTTGAGCATTGCGTCGTGAAGGAGATCCATCAGAAGACGCGCCCGGTGATGACGGTCTTCCATCTCCTCCTCGATGCTGTGCATTTGGAATGTGTTCAAAGTACAAGATGTGCCACGGCGGCAGCCGCCTGGCGAGTTATAAAATCTACAACTTGGGCGTCGAGACATGTTGGGTTACTAGTAGTAGCACCACAGTTTCTAGCTGTGCCGCTTTTTAAGTGAGAGGATCATGAGGTGCCTGGGGGACCTACAGATGCAACTGATGCCACGAACTAATTCAGGAGCACTAATAGAGCTCTTCTGACACGAGGCTTCACAGGATGTGTTCAATTAGTTGATTTCCAGCTGATACACGTCCTTTGAAGCCAATGTCTTGGGAGATCTGTCTCTGGTGCAACTTGACCTGGCCTTTCTAACCTGAGATGCCCATACGATTATTCGCAAGTGAATAGATTGTTGCAATATGCACGTCTGTTGTTCAAACAAGTCTTTTGACAGACGCTGCAGTGACTAGGAGTTGGTTGAGACAACCCCAAGATTTGGCGGAGTTGTAAATTTTAATAACCCTATTTGATCAGCGAGAGTCACAGCGGCCGCGGCCATCTACCTTGCCTTAACGGATGGTCTCAGTCAAGTCACTGGCCTCGTTTGCAGCCTCGAGGAGATAAATGTCACTCATGAAGAATGCCAACCATACCCAAAGAATGTGGAAGTTCAATTAAACATTGAATGGAACGACTCACAAGGTTCATGAGTCGTCTACTAAAGTTTGCCTAGGAAGAACTAATCACATCATTGCCTCGATTCTAGATTAAGTTGATGGAGCATGCCGCATTACGCGTTTCCACGGCACGTTGCTTGGGTAGGCTGTAGCTGCAGGGAAAACCTCTTATCTCAGAACTCGCCTTCACGTACATCGTCTCTGGCAGCTCTACCAAATCTATTTTGCTCCAAGTTCAGTAGGGCATTAAGGCCTCTCGAATATGACGCAGCATCAGGCAGCATCACTTTCACTCGTCCTATCTACGCTGGTAACGTCATCTCCACAGTCTTGGTGCGTTCCCCAAGCTCTTCACTATGCACACTGCGCATTTATGGCTGCGGAGTAGGACATGCAGCGGACATCGAAATCGAACCCTCGATCCTGTTGAGGGTTCTGATAAGTACAGCCACGGAACATATTAACACCATCTGATCGATCTGATTCAATCAATAGGCGTTGCTGGCCACATTGTTTCTCAGGGGCGAGCCCTAGCCCTCTCAATCTACCTGTATCCACTTTGTGTTTTTTTTGGTGGAAAACGCCTAAACACGGTTGTTTCTGGTGGTTCCTTCGCACGATCCTTGCACGGGTACGGGTAACACCGCATATGCTGACGGGTTTGGAGGGTACGTGTACGGTGTAGGATAGTCGTCTTGAACATACCATGACCCCTCTGATCAGGCCTTACCGCGGGTTAGCAGTATTTGGGCGGGTATGACTTGCAACCTTGACAGTCAAGTACTGAACGCCGTGCTATTAATTGATTCTCCGCGTTGCCTTTCTCTGAGAGCTGGAGGATCACAACTGAATAGTATACGATTTCTATCATGTCTTGATGTGAGTAGAGACGGACGGAAGGACTGCGAAGACAAACGAACGGCTCAGTCTGATAGGAGTGGAACGACGCGGATGCAAGGACTTATATACCTATCCGTGTTATCGATGATGTAACCGATAAGCGTGCTATTGTACGTGTACGCAGTAAGTAAGCGTAAAGATAAAAGAGTGAAATCATTCTAGCAATTTATCGAGCTTACACTTCGCTACAGAGAAGCTCGAGTCACTACCATAAAATCAAGGCAAAAACTCGAGACTCCACCAAGTTGTCTCCATGAAACCAAGCTCATAAAGAAGGCATCTGATGCCTCGTCTACCCAGAAGGCTCTGACCTGCCCCTTGAAGAAGGTCAAACAATCATTCGCGTCTCAGTCTGCTCGATCGAAACTCAGACACCGTCGATCGCACAAGAGTAGATCACTGGTCAACAAAAACTACGACTCCAAACCCCCGCGCAGCCCCGATTCCCATATCTCCCTAACCCCCTCCCTGAACCATACAACATTCCACTCCACTAAACCCCTGCGCATATCATACACCGTCGTCGGAAGGAGTGCGAGCAATGCGAGGTGCGGGGTGACGAGGTGGTACGTGAGCGTAGTCCCTGGGCGTGAAGGTGAGAGCGACGTCGCTGCTGAGGGGTAGAAGTGGGGCTTTGAGGGTGGAACGGGGGATGACGATGAGGTGAGTGGCGGTGTTCCGGCGGGAGTGATGCCGGAGGTAGGAGTTGATGTCGTGGCTGTGGGTGGGGGTGTTGGTGCTGGTGTTGGGGAAAACCGACTCGTCCGCGGATCGTTAGAGTTGGACCTGGTAGGACGGTTCAAGGGTAGGAGGGAAATTTGTGATACGTACGTACCTGTAGAGAGGTCCAAAAGAGTTGAGCATGGATAGATAATCGCAGCAGAGATTGTGCGTGGCTTTGTCTACTGGTGAGGTATCTGTTGCGACGTGGATTTTACTGGATGTGTCGAATAAGAAAGCCTTTGGAGATGCTGTATTCTGCGAGCGATGAGAAGTGCCCGTGAAGACAAGTGACAATGAAGGCACATACAGAGCAAAAGACATTTAATAGTTCTTCGAGATATGGCAGGGAATCGATCAGTTTATGAAGCATACGAGAGAACGCCTCTCGGAGAGAATGGTCATATATGGAGGTGAGATGGAAATTGAGAGGGAATTGCTCAAATTCGGGAGATTCGTCTACGAGGCGGTCCATGACACGTTCGTGTATCTGGCGGAAGTTTTCTGTGTGCTGTTTCAGTTACGAGCAAAGAATGGATGCGGGACTGGCGTACCGATCTTGTCGTCCTCTTGAAGCCTTTCCGCTTTGTGCACAAATACTTCAAAATTTATGTCGGGGTTGATTTGGCATGCAGCGACTATGAACTCTACGAGCTTTGAGACAGGATGTTGGTAGAGATCCTGCGCATATGAATGAGGACAGCAGTCAGCAGATAAATACAGCGCACGTACTCGAATGTCTATTACGAAGACTATAGTTGAGAAATCGGCGAGAGATGCGCCGAGTGTGTCGACGGTAACGTTTCCTGGACAGTCCCATATCTCCAACGGGATGACAGTGCTGAGAAACGATGTTCAGTGCTAAGCACGAGAAGAAGTCATGGACGAGTGCACACTCAATGAAATGTTTTGCAACACGCATGGTAGGCTCGAGGTAAAAAGTCTGTTTGACTGGGAGATCATCGAAGAGGACTTGGAGTATGGAGGTCTTTCCACTCCTGTGATAAGTTAGAACAGGTAAAAGGAGAAAACCTAGAGATTCGCCTTCTCATTCCCAGAAAGAGTATTTTTGTCCTGGTTCCATTGGAGCTTGAGGAAGAGCTCATTGTACATGGGAATGTACTAAATTACATAAAGTAAGCTAGTAAGTCAGAAGATAGATTTGGCAAGAGCCTTTGAATTCAACAAGCACAAACTCCTTTTCAACCGGGTCTGATACCACAATATTTGGATGCTTGTGTCATGACCCTTCAATCTGACATGCAGACGCACTTACTATGGTGCCATGACCGTTTGGATCTATGACACCGTCAACTTTTTTTGGTGGAAGTTGAGCTTGGCTGTGATTGGCTCGCATTTGTCCATACGAGATTCGATGGTTCTCGATTCCGGCCTTCGGAAATGGATATCGCTCAGCCTTCTGCTGGCTACAGTTGACTTTTCCAGCCCCAGGGTACATTTGACGTTTTTTACAGGGGTCACTATTACTCTGATTCCTGCAGAGAATATAATTTCCTCTACGCCTGTTGTTACAGACGGAGAAGGTATTTCAGGTACCCCAGCGGGTTTTCTTTTTCGTGTAAGCTTCGCAAATGGGACACGCAGCCTTTTTCGGCAGCAACCGAAGTCAAGTTTCTACTCACCCGAGGCGTTTACAGCATGTGCCTTACAGGTTGCGCAATGACCCTGGACAGGGCACGCTCACTGTGTGTCCACACGTTAACGTCGATGATGGCATGTAGTTCAGGGCGTGGGGCAATACGTATACTATGCCATCGTGTCCCACAAGCGCTTAGTCATCCTCACCGCCATACCCCTGTGCCCCAGGACAGGCAAACTATGTGGACGGCGGACGCGTATTTTTGTTGCTGGTCTGTGAGTTCGAATGCTCTGCGTCATACCGTGTTTCCCTGCATTCAGAGTTTTGTCTCTTATTTCCTCACTAGCACCATTATGGCAACCTCCGCTTCCTTTCACGGCGTTCTTCAAAATGAGAACGGATATTAGCATCATGTATCACATCAGAGGACTGGTGAGCTGCAGATATCGTCATATATGCCGATATATGATTATATTTAGAAAAGGTTTTCGTTGTATAACCTCGGAAAACCACCGCAATCAGCATAAGGCACCCTGGGGAGACTCACGAAATCTCTAATGGGCAGATCCATCATTTGTTTGGCTCAGTTGAGCCCAGTGCGATATATACTTCAGGTCGACCTAGACTTTAGTGCACCTTCCCCATTCCAGTATCCGGCATTGGGTAAGTATTATCCAACGATGCTCAACGATGAACGTGGACTTTACTTGGCAATATCAGCCTTGGTAGTAGCTGTGTTAAGCTACTGTCGAAAATATAGACTCAATCTTTCGCGCCCCCCGCTACCGCCTGGTCCTATCCCCCTTCCAGTACTGGGAAATGTTCTCAGTCTTGATTCCGCTCGGCCCTGGTTGACCTTCAATGCCTGGAGATCCACATATGGTTGGCACGTTGTGATGGGGATCTGTCCATGACAACTCACTTTGTTCCTTAGGTGACATTATTTATGCTCGTCTCCTTGGCAAGCCCATCATCGTCGTTAATTCTGAGGAGGTCGCGAAAGACCTTTTTGAACGGCGTTCCAGCATATATTCAGATAGACCCCAGTCAATTGTTTATGAAGCGTGAGCTACATCTTGGAGTGTTGGTCCGCATCAATCACCAAAATTTTGTCAGCTTCGCTTCAGATTTTAACACGGGGTTCATGCCATATGGAAACAGGTACATAATGGGTTATTCTATGTTATGTTGATGAGTGTCTGATAAAAGGCAGGTGGCGCCTTCACCGACGAATCTTTCATCAGGCATTTCACCAAACTGCTGTACCCGCTTACCACGCTACGCTACTCCGTTCCGCCCACAAAATGATGTTCGGTCTTCTACAGGACCCTGAAAATTATCCAAACCATTCTCTGATGTCGGTCGCGACAATTTATCTGGTCTCGCGTTGAAGCTGATTTTTTATTAAGGTTTCCTTTGACATACATGCTATCTATAATATATGACTGTGAAACGACAGCTAAGGACAAGCATGTTGCTAACGCCATTACAAGGTATGGGAAGCTCATAGTCGAAGGTTTCGCACCAGCTGCTATGACTTTAATGGAAACATTCCCTTTCCGTATGTTTGCACATGCAGTGATTGCATGTAAGTAACTCAACAATCCTTCTAGTTTTGCAGCTACCTAGCTGGTTTCCCGGTGCCACGTTTAAGCGAGCATCACTCAAGTGTATCCAGGCAGGCCATGACGTGAAGGAGATACCCTTTCAATATGTCAAAGAGAGGATGGTGAAGCACCCCACTAGTGGAGGTACATCCAACTAACGAAATGCTGACAGTCTGCCAATGACATGGGACCGTGCTTGGTGGCTGATGCTTTGAATAGGACCAGTGAAGAGGACGACGTCACTATAACTGCAATTAAGGAGGCTGCTTCCGTTGCATTCACAGGTATGCAAGTTGAAAAATTCTTTCCTCTCAATACCCATTTTTGTCTTCAGCGGCGACCGATACGGCGAGTTTCTCCTGGTCTTCGTCTGCCAATCATAACCAGTTTGCCCTTGACTCAGACCACTAACACATTACTTGTGTTTTTTCTTGCTATGGTGCTCAACCCAGAGGTGCAAGCAAAAGCGCAGGCGGAGATCGATCGAGTCGTTGGCAAGGATAGACTCCCTAATTTCGACGATAGACCGGCGTTGCCTTACCTAGAAGCTATTTTACGTGAAACACTCAGGTGGTACCCAGTGGTTCCATTCGGTTTGTCCACAACGCAAAATCATTTCTGAATATCCTCTGATAATTTTTGCAGGCATTCCACACGCAACAACAACCAGTGACATCTACAATGGCTATTTTATTCCTGAAGGTTTGCATCATACTGATTTAACGACGGCCGCTGACGATCTTTGCTAGGCGTTGTTGTATTTCCAAACGCATGGAAAGCCCATACTATCCTTATCCTTAATGTATCTAAATAACGAACCTTTCAGGGCAATGACGCACGATGCAACGAAATACCCCAGTCCTGACGAATTCAAACCGGAAAGATTTTTCCAAGACGACGGGACTCTTAACAGCGATACTATGCGTTTAGGCTTCGGCTGGGGTCGCCGAATTTGGTGAGCATCTATTCGCACTCCTTCGCCCTCCGTTGAAAGAAACTTGACAGTGTGGGACGGCATCTCGTGGACGCGTCACTCTGGATCGCTATGGCGAATTTGCTGGCGTTTTTCTCGGTCCACAAGGCTCTTGATGAACACGGCATGGAGATTCCGGTCGCTCCGAAGTTCACCACTGGTTTCACAGTGTTTGAAGAATCTCATCTGTCCCAGAGAGTAGTCTGCTGACTTCTTGTTATTTAGTCGTCCAGAGAGATTTCCCTGTCGCATTCTCCCGCGATTCCCTGATGTGTCTTTGAAGACACTGACGCGTTCGACTAACTTTGGAGGTCCGTTCTATCGACAACACCTGGTACTCTCAAATACTAATATACAGTAGCAGAGGAATTGTGATTGTGGTGTGGTCGGTAGTATGCAGCACGATAGCTTTCTGCTTTGAATTTTTTGCCTGTGTAACATGAGATTGCGACCACGTTATTTTGACCAAGTCTATACCGCGATGTCTGTTGAATTCGTTAGGAATAGCTACAGCCTGTATTCACTTTGAACATGCTTCGGATGTGTCATGCTGTGCAGTCGAGCACAGCTACCGCCGGTTACCAATTATGGCACAGCGCCGCACAATTTGTCACTCTATTTACGTAGCGAGGCACGAACGGAGGAAATAGAGCTAAGAGTCTGTTCGGCCACGAAATTTAGGCCAACTTAATTGATACTCTATTACGTAACGAGGCACGAGGCAAAGGACTAGAGTTAGGTCTTTGCGCAAGCGTCGGAGGCAGTACGAGCTTTTGCCTTCGTACCACGACGACGCACCTATCTCTCTGTTGCCCTCAGCGACATACCCTTTGTCCTTTTCTTTTCCCCCCGCCTAAGACAACATCCCAGTGAAGCTTAAATAAACCCAATTCCCTTTGAGTACCATGGAATGCATTTTGACTGATCTGGCACTTGAAGCGCAGCTGAACTTCGAATCCACTGCATACGCTGGGTGGCTTAACGCACTCGTCACAGGAGGCATCACAAGAGAAGATGCCCTCGAAAACATGGCCAACGGTTGGAGGTTTGAGCGCCAAGAGTGCATCACCCTTTGGGAAGAGCAAGTGGAGGAGGACACTCGCATTCTTTGAGGACATCTGGAGCATGAGAGAGCAGAAAAGGAAGCAGAAGAGCAGGAAGAACATCGTGAAGCCAAGAAGAAGAAACCTAAGATCAATGACTTTGATGCTGGTTCAGTAGTTGCCAACATCATCATCCCTTGCCCTGCCCAGTATGCCATACAGAAGATCAAGAGCATGGAGTATGTGGAGTTATGGTATTTCAGTCCTGACGGGTGCCATGAGGCGTCCACCACTGCTAGATCCACGTTGGATTCAGATGACGCATATGGATTCGCAAAGGTCGACAGCACAGTCGCCCTGAAGACCTTAGCATCCTTCAAGGCATCCCACAAGGTGTTGCAAGACCATGACCTATCATGGCGCCAGTTCGATCTGGCAAAGACCAGCTTCCTCATCCACATTGAGAAGAGCGGATGGCTGGACAAGCATCAACAAGCATTAGCCTTGTTCTTCACCCTCATCACTAACCATGAACACCGCATGCACCCACGCAGTGAGAAGACATTACTTCACTATGCTGGCTTCGTTTGATGGGAATGGCATGATTGTCCAGCCAAAAACCAGGGCTTCAACATTGGCCTCTTCAACAATGCCCTATACAGCACTATCTCAGATGACATCTGGGAAGCCGAGCGCAACAAGGGTCTAAGACTGGTGCGTTTTTTCCTCACCTTCAAAGAATCATTCAAACATTAACCACATGTATACATAATCTTATTCTATTGTCTCATCAAACAATCAACATCTGCTTACGTGTCAAATGCACCTGCTACCCATCTGCTATCATTGCTCGCCACTACTGGGAATACTTCCTTCCCCCCCCCTCCCACATGTTATCCAATGCTCACCCAACAGTCACCTTTGTGCCCTCAGTCTCGCACTTCCACTCAATGAAACCCATAATGCTTTCAACCTCTCCACTTCCCTACTCGATTATGTGCTTCATGCTTTGCTTCCCTTAACGACTCAATCAATCTGCTTTGCTCCCGTGATCATGCTTGCACTACCCCAAACTGCTCCGTGCCCAATCCAACAGCTTCAGAGTTTGCTGGCTGTGTCAGGATATTCATCTCACCCTTGAGGTAGGGAGGTCAGCACGAGTCAGGGCAAATGCAGGGAAACATATCCCCCCCCCAGATGACACCCACTACCACCCCTACAGGTCGTCTAACCCAATGGCAAAGAAACCATACAAGGGTCAGCCATCTTTTCCTGTGGGCGCAAGCAATTCGGGCCCCTCAGCTTGCGCCCTCTGCCTTGGCCGCTTTTGACACCCCATCCACAAGTGCGCTTCTGAGTTCCTCTGGGACAAACGAACCAAGACTCGTTGTTGATGAAATGCAGAGGGACACCTGGTCAACCCAAAGGGCCTCAAGCTCTGTTACGATTGGCAAAGACCGAAAGGATGCTCAAACACTGCCCATTCTCACATGCACAAGTGCTCAGGATGTGGGGCAAAGGATCATGGAGCTCAGAACTGCCCTCAGAGCAAGAGCGTCTAAAGCCTGCACCCCATACCAGCCAGAGGCTTGGTCACATTTTCTCAGTGTCTCGGGTCTTACAAACAAATATGCACATATACCTAATGGCTTTCGGTTTGGTTTCATGGGCAGCGTCCCTACTATACATCATACTTATTCCCCCCCTAATAGTCTTTTGTTACTTACACAACATGATACATTCATTACCATCCTGGATCGAGAATACTCTACTGGACGTTATATTGGCCCGCTATCCAAGACAGAGACAGAAAAACTTATTGGGCCTTTCCAGACGGCTCCGCTTTCTATGGTCCCCAAGCCAGGGAAACCAGATAAGTTCAGGCTCGTACAAAATCTTTCATTTCCACTTCATCCATCTGCAACCATATCCTCTATTAATTTGGCCATTGACTCTGATCTATACCCTTGCACATGGGGCACTGCTTCAACCATATGCCTTCTCATCTGGTCCCTTCCCCCAGGTTCACAAGGGGCTGTTTGCGATGTGGCAGAAGCATATCAAACGATTCCCCTCCACCTGTCCCAGTGGCCAGGTTTGGTCATCAAAATGGGGGAGGACAGCTTCGCAATCAACTGCAGCTTCTGTTTTGGATTTTCTGCTTCCATGGGAATGTATGGTGGGGTGGCAGACGCAGGTGCTGACATCTTCAGATCACAAGGTATTGGCCCAATGTCCAAGTGGGTTGATAACCATTTATTCAGCCGAATTCTCCGTGAACATCTCAAAGCTTACAATGACCTACACAAATTGTGGGCTGCCATCATCGCAAGGAATGGAGGCATGCTTGTGGATGGGGGGTGTAAATGGTACCACAGATCTGACATGCCAGATGGGAGAGTTGAAGAGTTTGATGAAGACTTATCCTTCCCCATCCTTGACCTATCAGCAACATCTCCATGTTTGTTCGAAGATGCCCGTTTCACCTTCTGCTTTGACAACATCAACTGACTATCCAAAACTCTTGGTATCCCTTGGGAGCTCGCAAAGGACATTCCCTTCTCCTCATGTCCTCCATTCATTGGTTTCCTCTGGGACATTGCATCACACTCCATCTCGATTCCACCCAAGAAGAAGGAAAAATACCTGGCAGCGATTCGAGAATGGGAGACCAGACCTTCGCACACCTTACAGCAAATGCAGGAACTCTATGGTAAATTACTACATGTTTCCTTGGTTATACTGGCAGGACGAGCTTATCTTGTTTCCCTCGAAACCATCCTTTCTGTCTTCCATAATTGTCCTCACATGCCTCAACGTCCCCCAATGAACACAGGTGAAGACTTGCACTGGTGGAAAGCCAATCTTGCACAGCCCATTGTCGCTCGACCTATTCCAGGGCCCATCGAAGTCACTGACCCCTCAGCTTACTCAGACGCTAGCTCAGGTACTGGCGTTGTGATTTGGATCAACGGCAGGTGGAGGGCATGGTGCCTCCTCCCAGGCTGGAAAGACGAAGATTGAGACATCGGATGGGCAGAAGCAATCAGTATGGAGTTCCTCGCTATCACGCTCTTCAATCAATGCCCAGAAGGCAGCTGCATCAAAGTTTTTGGCAACAATCGAGGGGTCGTTGAGGGTTGGTGGAAAGGGAGGAGCAGAAACAAAGCCACTAACACCATCTTCAAGCACATTCATGAGCTCACCATGGTTTCTAAATGCTTGCTCATCACTCGCTACGTTCCCAGCGCTCACAATCCAGCCGACAACCCGTCCAGGGGTGTATACCCACCATCAAGCTTGTTACTCCCCCCAATCCATATCCCTCAACCCCTGCAGGCCTTCATCACAGACTTTGACGATCCCCGAATCCCTGTTGAGACTCATAAGCCCCGCACAGATGCCAAAATGTACCCACTCGTCAGCAACCACAGATGGTTCGAGTGCAGCAACCTTAACAACGAGCTCTGTCATCAAGGAGAAGAAATCTTCAAAGCGACGCAAGCTTAGTAAGTCAATTTGCGTCGCATTAGATATACATCACCTCACTAGGCGCACCTAGTTGCTAACTACCCCACCAATCTAATGCCTCGAGAATCTGTCCTGCATCCCCACTGTTCTGCCAAGGATAGACTACACCTATGGCACCCAGCCACAGACAATTCTCATTCATCTCCTCTTCTACACAAGGATGTGCAATGCATTCAGAGCGTAATGATTCACGTGTGGGCTGGCAGTACACAGGAAGCATACAGTAGTGGCATCCTCACCTTTCATGTCTACTGTGACTCAAAATTGATTGAAGAACCATTATGAGCTCCCACATCCTCTGATTTAATTGCTGCATTCATTTCTGACCTGGCGGGTTTGTATTCAGGAAAGACCATAGCCAGCTATGTTCATGGTGTGTGCGCATGGCACATTCTGCATGGGAAGTCGTAGTCCCTGGACGACGACAGGATAGACACCATGTTAAAGGCGGCCAAAAACCTCACACCATCCTCATCGAAATGAAAGAAACGCCCTCCTTACACCATAGACTTCATGACTAGTATCCTGCAGAAACTCGACTCAGAGGATCCCCTTGATGCTGCTGTGCGTAGCTGTCTTACTACAGCATTTTATTCCATAGCCAGAGCCGGAGAATTTACCATCAAGAACTTATCATCATTCAACCCATCCCTGCATGTCAAATGTTCAGACATACATCATGAAACAGATTGGAGTGGTCGCACCACCACAGTTTTTCACTTGTTGCGCACCAAGACATCCCAAGCCAGCGAAGATGTCTTCTGGGTGAAACAAAATGGTCCTACAGACCCAAGCGCAGCACTACTCAATCATCTTCGAATCAATGACCCTCTCCCAGAGATCGCACTCTTCTCATACAAGTTCGGATCCACTCACCGTCCTTTAACAAAGACAAAATTCATTGGATGCCTTGCTCGTGCAGCCAAAGATGCCGGATTGGATCCTCTTCAAGGCCATGCCATCAGAATAGGTGCCACACTGGAATATCTTCTGTGGAATGTACCTTTCGACATGGTGAAGACCATGGGTCGCTGGGCCAGTGACACTTTTCAGCTTTACCTTCGAAATCACGTGCAAATCCTCGCACCATATCTGCAAGCAACCCCCGTTCTCCAAGATGAATTCCTGCGCATCACGATGCTGCAGGTGCATTAAGAAGGGATTGACTCAAGGCTTTCAAAGTAAGCAGTCATCCTCCTCCTAGCATCATGGGAATCTTTGGCTCGCTCAATGCATCGTCGAACTCCTATACCCTTGGGAATTGCAGCTCACCTTTCCAGCAGGACATGCAACTTGGGACCAGGAGGCGCTGTGCACCTTCGCCCAAACTGCTCAGGAGTTAGAACATTTGTTTACCAATTGTCATCACTTTATATCAAATGCTTGAAGTAATATTAAAACTGAGTTTTTAAAGATTCAAACTGCATCTAAGTGATGCACAAAGATTGATACTCTATTATGTAACGAGGCATGAGGCAAAGGACTAGAGTTAGGTCTTTGCGCAAGTGTCAGAGGCAGTACGAGCTTTTGCCTTCGTACCACAATGACACACCTATCTCTCTGTCACCCTCAGTGACATACCCTTCATCCTTTTCTTTTCCCCACCCGCTGCTCCCTCTTCCAAACACATGATACTTCGCCCCAGAACTCAATATCACTCATCGCTCTCCCTCTCCAGTGGTCTGGACTGTAAGTGTTTCCCCTGTCATAGGAATTTCGCAATGGTTTCTCTTTTCCCTCCTGCCCTCACAGCTCACCTTTCCAGCAGGACACGCAACTTGGGACTGGGAGGCACTGCACGCCTTCGCCCAAACCGCTCAGGAGTTAGAACATTCATTTACCAATTGTCGTCACTTTATATTAAATGCTTGAAGTAATATTAAAACTGAGTTTTTAAAGATTCAAACTGCATCTAAGTGACATGCAAAGACTTGAGAAATTTGCTTCTAGATTTGCTTTGTCATCTAAGCTCTGTGTGACATCAGTGTGACAATCAATAATCAAGAGATAATAAACAGTCAACATGCCAGCAACTCGAACTCAGACTAGATCTTCAAGGTCCAGGGTTAATACCCGCTCAAAATTCAGTGGTGTCCTCTCCCTGCCTTCATATACATCCATGGTGAAAAAAAAGCAACAGATGAGAAGAAGCAGGGTGAATCAGTGGGCCAGGAAGATAAAAGATGTAACTGGTCAAGCGCTGATGAGTTATGTCTCCTCAACTA